AAACCGTCATTTTAAAGTGATTTTTCGGTAAGAAGTAATAATGGTATGATTAAATAATTAGATTATAATTGACATTATAGCTTTGTTTCAGCTAACGTTATAACTGGTTGGAAGCTCGTCAGATGCAATCTTACATGTCATATGATGCAGTGGTATTCAAATGTAGCGGCATTATTTGACAGGTGTAATTGCCATAGGTAATTGCATCTGAGGAATTGCCAACCAGTCGGAACGTTAATTGGAGCCATATAGTGGCTCCAAACACTTTCCAAACAGTTATTCTGTGGTTGGAGCTTTTATATATAAACCCAATCCAAGCTGTATTCTAGTGGTTCGGTTCTTAGCTGAATAATTCAAAAATATCCTCAACAGATGGCGTCACATGCGTTCAATTTTTAGTACGAAGTTTTTGTTTAGAGAGGTGTATTTCTTATGGTATCCTTAAGACAGACATTATAAGTGTCATATTTTCACTATTTCAATGGAAGAAGGTGAATCTCAAGAGTGATCATAATTGGGTAGGATTAGAAATGAAAGAGAAGAATATTCTCTACTAGAAAATTCTCCGAGATAATTTTCTCATCGTGCATGGTGGCTCCCTCTGTCGGTCCTGACAAAACTAGGACGTTTTGGGAAGTTCCATACTCGATGGTTTTGTTGATATTTCATCAAAAGTTGAACAAGAGAAGCTACATCAACTATTAGCTAGGGTTTCATTTGCCATTGTTGAAAATAATCACTGGCAATCATTTTGCAAACATTTGAGACTATATTTCAAAATGCTTACCCGTTACTTATTATCAAATAAATTACTAGACTTCGAGTATGGAAAAATTGATGCAGACATTAAAATGACAATTGGAAAAGCGAATGCTCTTAGCTTACAGTGTGATGATTAGAGCAACCAAAGGAACGAATCCATACTTAACTTCATTATTACTATACCCAATCCTGTGTTTTATAAAACTTTGCCAACAAATATTTGTCGACATACCGCAGGATATATTACTGAAAAAATCGATGAAATTTTGAGAGAAGTTGCTACTGAAAAAATTTAACCATGTCCAAAATAAAAACTACGTCTATTGTTATGGAAGACTGCCATTAAAGAAATTAACAATTCTCACATTTTATTGGCTACTTTAAAAAAATGCATACTCTAAAAAAATTACACCAAAGCAGCCATTTTCCTTAAAATTACATGTGAAAACATGATGGTCATCAATTATTCATAGTTTAAAAAGTCTTCTTGATACAAAATAATATGCATAAAAACATTAGCAGTTTGTGAAACAGTTGAAGATATACTCAGTAAACGAGTTGCAAAGTTGATATTGGATGTGGATATTTTTTGGGTAAAATTTTTCAAACTGTTATCACCTAATAAACCCTATTGTTAAACACATAACCCAACTGGAATGAGAAAAACCAAGGTTAAGCCAAGTAGCTGAATGCTTTTATGAGTTGGAAAGTCATTTTGAAACAGCCCTTTGCTGTTAAGCTGTTGCTTAACCAAGACGAAGTAAAGAACTTTTTAGTTAAGAAAAAGCAAATGGCAATAAATCCAATTCATCTTGCTGCAAATATTTCTAAATCCAAATTTTAATGGAATTCATCTTAATAGAGAAGAACATATACAAGGAACAAAGTTTATAGACAATATGGCTACTGTAACAAGCCCAGATAAGTCTGCAGAGGTAATGGCAGAATTGTGTAAGTATGCCTGCGTCGAGTGCAGCAACAGAAAGAAGCAGTAGAAAGAAAAGAAATCGGCTTACGGCTGAACGAGCTGGTAAAATAACTTTCATTGCTCATAATTTAAAATTATTAGATTCTGCCACCAATGTGGAGGTTAATGAAAGCAACGAAGTGATTGAATGCAGTGATTTACATCTCTGCATTCTTCATTATCTCTGCATTTACGTAGGAAAGCCAAGCCACCTAATAGCTTACGTGTTTCTGAAGAAGGTGGCAACATGGCATTCGAAACGTCAAACATTTTTTCAAAAGACGCACGGCTTAGCCCGAAAATTTCTAGTGTTAGTTCTAGTTCAATTAACACCTCCCACGAAAGCCATCGTACATAAATTCTCAATTAATTATAAGCAAATGCAGAAAAGGATGAGAACAAATAAAACAAATAGTCAAAAAAACAAATATATTTTTAAAATTAATTAATTAATCGAGAGTATCTCAAATTTTTCAGACACCAATCATCTCATTTACTTTGGCCCTAACATATTTTCAGGTCGTACCCATTCATTAAATTGTTGTTCGTTCAAATGTCCTAATTTAATAGCGGCTTCTTTCAACGTTGTTCCTTCTTTATGTGCGGTTTTAGCAATAGCGGCCGCTTTATCGTACCCGATATGGGGATTCAAAGCGGTGACCAACATTAAACTTTCCTTCATGATTTTATCAATTTTATCTTTATTTGCAACGATTCCTACAGCGCAGTTTTTCGTAAATGCTTGACAACTATCTCCCAATAATTTAGCTGATCTTAACACGTTTGCGACTATCATCGGTTTAAAAACGTTTAATTCAAAATGTCCGTTTGATCCACCAACTGTTACGGCTACATGGTTACCCATTACTTGACCTGCCACCATCGTAATAGCTTCACATTGAGTTGGATTTACTTTACCGGGCATAATAGAACTGCCTGGTTCGTTTTCGGGTAGTGATAATTCTCCTAAACCGCAACGAGGACCAGATGCCAAAAATCTAAAAACGATTTAATTAGATTAAAAATTATTTTGAAGGATTAGATTGTACCTAATATCATTGGCAATTTTCATAATTGAGCAAGCAACTGTGTTTAAAGCACCTGAAACTTCAACCATAGCATCGTGAGCGGCAAGAGCTTCGAATTTATTTGGTGCGGTAACAAATGGGAGTCCAGTTAATTCGGCAATTTTGGCTGCGGTTTTTTCAGCAAATCCAATTCTTGTATTTAATCCGGTGCCAACAGCGGTTCCTCCCAAAGCCAACATGTACAATCTTGGTAAAGTATCTTTAATCCTGTCAATACCAAAAGTTAGTTGTTGTACATAACCTCCAAATTCTTGACCAAGAGTTAAAGGTACTGCATCTTGGGTGTGCGTTCTACCGATTTTAATAATTTTTTCAAATTCTTTAGATTTTTGTTGGAGAGCGTCGCGTAAGGCGACCAATCCAGGTAAAGTACACTCATTTATTTCTTTAGCTACGGCGATATGCATAGCTGTGGGGAAAGTATCGTTACTGCTTTGACTCTTATTAACATGATCATTTGGATGTACCGGAGTTTTTGAACCTAACGTTCCACCCATTAATTCAATGGCCCTGTTACTAATTACTTCATTTGTGTTCATGTTTGATTGTGTACCAGAACCCGTTTGCCAAATGACCAAAGGAAAATGATCGTTGTATAATTTTCCTGATATAACATCATCGGCAGCTTTCGAGATCGCATCTGCTATCTTCGAATCTAAACCGTATTCTTTGTTTACTAAAGCAGCTGCTTTTTTTAATATTCCCATTGCTTTAACAACTTGAATCTAAAAGACAAATTTGGGTNGTCAGTGACGTAGCTGGTTCTATGAACAACACAACACCACCTATACTGTGGTACAGTCTATATAAAATATTTAAACCTCGCATCGTGTTGTCACGTATAGGCACATGTATAGGCTATCTTTTATTCTGACTGTATCGAACCAGTGACGTCAATTTGCGGGGTAATAATCGATACTACAGAGGCATAGGGAATGAGGTAACCTTATGTTCTATAAACCTTGCATTTGACATATAATCTCCATTACTAACATAACCTACATTTAAATTTGTGGTGAAATAATCTAAGTATGACGAAGCGATGACTTACTGCCAGCTCTCGTGGTTTCTACTATACAAATCATCAAGATTAAATGTCAAATATGATGTTCAAATTTCCTTTTGGTGGATAATTATCAAGTTGGTACTAAAAATGTGATTTTAAACGGTTTTGTCAAACTCTTGTTTAAAATGTCATTGTATGTAAGTTGGAGCTGTAGATTTTGAAGAAACAACATGAGTGACTTCGTAAAGGGCGGTAAATTGTAATTTTTGGTCCGTATTGTATGTAACTTAACGTTAATTCTAAATCATCAAGCCTAATTGTCAAAAATGACGTTAAAATTTCTTTTTGGTGGATAATTGTCAAGTCGAAAAAAAAGTCGAAAACTGCTATTAAAACTTGACTTTTGTGTAGAGTACTTAGCGACCGTCAAAACGATTGTTTGATAGTTTGTTTTGGGACGTAATAGTATATTAAAAAACTAGTTTCGTAAGTTACCCTTAAAATGCACGAATTTAAGTTGAAAAACGAGTGGCAAAATCACGAGTTTTTTAATGAATGAGTGCTTTAGGTCTTATGAAACGTGTTTTTATGCTATTTTTTGTAATTCACGTTTTTATCCTTTTTTTTTAACAAAAATAAAATGAATTTTGACAATGTAGGAAAATAGGTATGTAGCAGTTGGTAACATCGTAACACTTGAAAATAGAAATTTGAATTGACAGTTAGAAACTGTCAAAACACAAAATGTATTCGCCTGACAAAAATGTTTCATTTACACCTCCCGAAATAAGAGAAATTGTTCAGAGTTCTATTAAAACACTACTTCCAGAGAAGTCCCACGAAAGGTACGAACAACAGTACGCTAAATTTAAGGCATGGTGTGAAGAGAAGATTAAATAAATTTCAGAAAATGTGCTAATGTTACCAACTTGAAGTGAAATAATATATACGTAGGAAAGACAAGCCACCTAATAGCTTGCGTGGGTCTGAAGATGGTTGCAACATGGCATCCGAAACGTCAAACTTTTTTCAAAAGACGCACGGCTTTTCTAGTTCTAGGTCTAGTGTTAGTTCTAGTTTTAGTTCAATTAACACCTGCCGTGAAAACATTTGTACTTAAATCATCAATTAATTATAAGCAAATGCAAAAATGGATGAGAACAAATAAAACAAATAGTCAAAAAAAACAAATATATTTTTAAAATTCATTAATTAATCGAGAGTATCTCAAATTTTTCAGACACCAATCATCTCATTTACTTTGGCCCTAACATATTTTCAGGTCGTACCCATTCATTAAATTGTTGTTCGTTCAAATGTCCTAATTTAATAGCGGCTTCTTTCAACGTTGTTCCTTCTTTATGTGCGGTTTTAGCAATAGCGGCCGCTTTATCGTACCCGATATGGGGATTCAAAGCGGTGACCAACATTAAACTTTCCTTCATGATTTTATCAATTTTATCTTTATTTGCAACGATTCCTACAGCGCAGTTTTTCGTAAATGCTTGACAACTATCTCCCAATAATTTAGCTGATCTTAACACGTTTGCGACTATCATCGGTTTAAAAACGTTTAATTCAAAATGTCCGTTTGATCCACCAACTGTTACGGCTACATGGTTACCCATTACTTGACCTGCCACCATCGTAATAGCTTCACATTGAGTTGGATTTACTTTACCGGGCATAATAGAACTGCCTGGTTCGTTTTCGGGTAGTGATAATTCTCCTAAACCGCAACGAGGACCAGATGCCAAAAATCTAAAAACGATTTAATTAGATTAAAAATTATTTTGAAGGATTAGATTGTACCTAATATCATTGGCAATTTTCATAATTGAGCAAGCAACTGTGTTTAAAGCACCTGAAACTTCAACCATAGCATCGTGAGCGGCAAGAGCTTCGAATTTATTTGGTGCGGTAACAAATGGGAGTCCAGTTAATTCGGCAATTTTGGCTGCGGTTTTTTCAGCAAATCCAATTCTTGTATTTAATCCGGTGCCAACAGCGGTTCCTCCCAAAGCCAACATGTACAATCTTGGTAAAGTATCTTTAATCCTGTCAATACCAAAAGTTAGTTGTTGTACATAACCTCCAAATTCTTGACCAAGAGTTAAAGGTACTGCATCTTGGGTGTGCGTTCTACCGATTTTAATAATTTTTTCAAATTCTTTAGATTTTTGTTGGAGAGCGTCGCGTAAGGCGACCAATCCAGGTAAAGTACACTCATTTATTTCTTTAGCTACGGCGATATGCATAGCTGTGGGGAAAGTATCGTTACTGCTTTGACTCTTATTAACATGATCATTTGGATGTACCGGAGTTTTTGAACCTAACGTTCCACCCATTAATTCAATGGCCCTGTTACTAATTACTTCATTTGTGTTCATGTTTGATTGTGTACCAGAACCCGTTTGCCAAATGACCAAAGGAAAATGATCGTTGTATAATTTTCCTGATATAACATCATCGGCAGCTTTCGAGATCGCATCTGCTATCTTCGAATCTAAACCGTATTCTTTGTTTACTAAAGCAGCTGCTTTTTTTAATATTCCCATTGCTTTAACAACTTGAATCTAAAAGATAAATTTGGGTGTAATTCAATATCGTTTAAATATTGACAATTTTTTTTTAATCGACGGGAAATCACTCGAGTAAGCCGTTACAAATTAAAAAAAGTGCGGAAAAGTGTAAAACTTAAAGTTTCGGCGTGATGTCACTTTTTGTGACATCATCGACCGTGCTAACCTTATATTTTGGTAGCACATTTTGTTAAAACGCATATTTTTACGGTTGTTTCTTAGGTTTTCCATGCACTATGACTAAAATGTTTATAAACTAAAGATAACATAAATCTATACCTAACGCCCTACCCCCCTCTAGTCTATACCCATAGTCGCATGTCGTCTAAGAGATGACATAGACTCTACCTGGACTAACCTGTTAGCATCATAGAAAAATATACAGGGTGATTCACATAAGAACCGACACAGAGCAGGGACAGTTGACTCCAAAAAGCAATATTATTTGGAGAAAAAATTGCACGAATATTACTCCTCCGATTCAGTGGTACGAAGAGAAAGAAAAAGAAACAAATTACTGCTGTTCCAACTCCCCTGGACTATTTTAACAAATATTTTACGGAGGATTTATTTGTTAGGATGTCAGAAATGACAAATCTTCATGCGGTTCAGACTCAGACTAAGTTTGTACCCACAAATGTTGAAGGAATGAAGACAATTTGTGGGGATACACATTCTAATGGGCAACTTGCATGGTGTAATTACATTCTATGCATTGATGAGCAGATGATACCATTCAAGGGAAAGCTCAACGTGAAGCAATATGTAAAAGGAAAACCCTGCCCTTGGGGTGTTAAATTATCTGCCTTGTGTGGCCGCAGCGGGCTACTTTATGACGTTATTTTATACCAAGCCAATTTTATAACGCCCTACAGAACGTTTATTATATTCAGGAAGTGGACTTTGCGCATGTTTACTGATGCCATTGATATTAGCTGCACGAATTAAAGGTGACGAGGTCTAGTGTTAGTTCTAGTAACAGTCGTAAGTAGCGCTAGTTAGCATAAGATATCACTATCTTGCATTTTTTTATTGCAGTAAACTAACACTAGATCTAGAACTAGAATCATTCGGGTTTAGCCGTCTTGAGAGACCTGGGGCTAAATCCGAATGTTTCTAGTTTTGCACTAGAACTAACACAAGACCTAGAACTAGAATTATTCGGGTTTAGCCGTCTTGAGACGTGGGGCTAAATCCGAATGTTTCTAGTTCTAGGTCTACTGTTAGTTCTAGTTTTGCACTAGAGCTAATTCAAGACCTAGAACTAGAATCATTCGGGTTTAGCCGTCTTGAGAGACGTGCGGCTAAATCCGAATGTTTCTAGTTCTCGGTCTAGTGTTAGTTCTAGTAACAGTGGTAGGTAGCGCTACTTAGCATAACATATCCCTATATTGCATTTTTTATTNAAGGAAAATGATCGTTGTATAATTTTCCTGATATAACATCATCGGCAGCTTTCGAGATCGCATCTGCTATCTTCGAATCTAAACCGTATTCTTTGTTTACTAAAGCAGCTGCTTTTTTTAATATTCCCATTGCTTTAACAACTTGAATCTAAAAGACAAATTTGGGTATAATTCAAGAATCATCGTGTCGATTAAAAATAGACAATTTTTGTTTTTAATCGACGGGAAATCACTCAAGTAAACCGTGATAAATTAAAAAAAAGTGCGGAAAAGGGTAAAACTTACTGAAAAATCACTTTAAAGTTTCGATGTGACGTCACTTTTTGTGACGTCATCGACCGTGCTATATATTTTTGCAGCACATTTTATTGAAACGCATATTTTCGGATGAAATACGATTGTTTCTTAGGTTTATTTGACTAATATGTCGTTGTTTACCACCTATAAACTAAAGATAACCTAAAATCTATACCTGATGTAACCTCTTTAAACGTTACATTCGGATCAACCTAATTTACTGATTTATTTTAGAATTTTGTGCAGAAATTCTACTTTGAGTTAGCTCTCAAGACGCACGGATAAACCCGATACTTTCTAGTTCTAGGCCTAGTGTTAGTTCTAGTTATACAATACCACCATCACTAGAACTAACACTAGACCTAGAACTAGAATCATTCGGGTTTAGCCATCTCGAGAGACGTGCGGCTAAACCCGAATGTTTCTAGTTCTGGGTCTAGTGTTAGTTCTAGTTTTAAATGTATTTAGCGTTAGATTGTGGTATATTAAATTGAAAGAAAAGTATCATATTTTACTCGTAACCAATATGGTGGGATCAGAATACTTCCAAAAATATTCAACGCGAGGTGCTGTTCTTCCTAGTATCTTTCAATTAGTAGCTAGTGAGTTGTTGTTGAGTGTGGTTGTATTGTAGTAAGTAAATTACGCATTTTGTTTAACATTCAAGCTCGTATGGTGACCCCACAATACCGATTACGAAACTGTTTTGTTAATTTGATTTTATACTGTTTCAGAAAAAATGACTCATTCTCGTGCTAATTCAATGAACAATATTCAATTCAATCCTAATATTGATGAATGGCTGTTGATGAAGTTGGCAGTGATTATAGCGACATTGATGGATCACAATCTAATCCAGATAATGTTTCAGACCACGATAGTTCGTCTGAGTTAGACTATGACAGTGATATTGAATTACATGAAGAAGTAGACGAAACAGAGAATTGTGGAAATTTTGAACAAAGAGGTTGCATCCGAGAATTTAACTTCAGTCAATTATTACGGGAAAAATTGGTAATCGGTTCAAATGGAGCTCCAAACCACGTTCATCAAAAGTACGAACACGAGCCCAGAATATAATTTCACGTTTACCAGAAGTCGTTGGACATGCAAAACGGCTTGGAAAGAATTGTTGGGAACTAGATGCCTGGTCTTGCATAATAACAAATAACATTTTGGGGGAAGTTATGCTAAGAACAAATCAAAAAATGGTGGAAATCCGACAAAATTTTACCGAAAATAACAAACATTTGGTTGCTGATATAGACCTTACAGAATTGAAAGCGTTTCTGGGATTGCTATTGTATTCGGCTATTTTCAAGTCAAACAATGAGGATTTGTCTTCAATTTTTGCAACGGAGAAAAGATTTGCTACAATATTAATAGCACTCAGATTTGATGATTCTAAAACTAGGCAGGAACGCAAGATAACGGACCCAACTGCAGCGATATCTCAAATATTTCAACTATTCCTGAAAAACTGTAAAGAAAACTATTCAATTAGTGATCAAGCCTGCGTTGACGAAATGCTTATTGGATCTCGTGGCAAGTGCAAATTTAGGATGTATATACCAAATAAACCTAGAAAATTTGGTATAAAAAGTATTGGCATCAACGATGCCAAAACTCATTATTTTTTTGATGGCTACATTTATGCTGGAAAGGGAAGTTATCAAAAGGCGATCAAAAATTATTAAAACCAACCCAGGCCGGGGTTAACGAAATCAATTGAAGGAACTAATCGCAACATAACCGCCGACAACTGGTTCTCTTCTATTGAACTTATTAGAGAATTGAAGAAGAGGGGTCACATAGGTTGGAACTTAAAAAAAAAATAAGAAAGAAATCAAAAGGAATTCCTTCTTTCCGAAACCAGGAAGACTGATTCGTCTATTTTTGGTTCTGGAGAAAATATTACATTAGCCGTCTTGAGAGACGTGGGGCTAAATCCGAATGTTTCTAGATCTAGCGTTAGTTCTAGTATTAACATAAAGTCTATTGACATACAGTCCATTTAACGACAGGTCGACAGTCGTTATGCATCGAAAGCCTAAGAAAAACAATTGTGTTTCATCCGTAAATATACAGTGTGTCCCAGGATAGATGTTACAAAAGATATAATGACTTAAACATTTTTGAATTTTATTTTAAGGCTGCGGAATTAAGCCCTGCTTGGTGTAAAGAGAATTTTAATACTATTTGCATATTTTGAAAACAAAGTCGGCTTTAACAGTGAATCAAAAACTACGTTTAGTTCAGGTAAAGTAACCTTTTTGTTCATGATACGGAAAAATTTTATAAAAAGTTTTCAAAATGAGAAATTATGGTCCTATACAAAATTTCAGAAGGATCTATCTGCTTTGGTTGAACATTTTAGTTTAAATAGCATAAATATTGTATTTTATTTTATTTATAAAAAGTCTAACGTAAACATAACTGTCGTTTATTCAACGTAACATCCATCTTTTGTTGCATACTTTTCTATACAATGCCTAAATTCTCTAAAACTAATTTTCTATTGTCGTTAGATTTCTTTTTCTCTTCCTTAACGTTAACAACGCTTCCCGAAGTAAGAAATTTCTTAACTATTCGCATAACAGTCATATGTGTAAGATTGGTATTAGAAAATCTTTTGATAGACTGCTGCACCACTGCTTTTAGCGCACTTTGCCCAAGCCCTTAACACTGCACGACGTAAATTTTTTGTTCTAATGTTAACATAATACAAAAGTAATAATTGACATGTGAACTAAACCTGAGGGATAATGCATTTTTCATTGTTGTTTTTCTTCACTCTGATATAATCTAAAATATGGTGGTTCATTTTTTTTTCTATAATACCTGTCAAATTGTTGTAAAGTTGGCAAAATTAATAGGGAGTTTTGTTTTATCATGTTTTGAAATAGATAGGTCACACTGTCAAAAGTCAGTGTGACATATCTAACTGTCAAACGTCAGCTTTCGTTATTCAAAAAGAAAAGATGCATAAAAAATGTTGTGGGGTGTTTATTTGCCATTTATTTACCTAGAAAAGGTGCTTTGTTCTATTTAATTACTTTGTAGCACGTGTTTACAATATATTTATAAATACATATTTATCTAAAAATTGATTAGTATTTTAACCTCAACTATTTAGTTACTGAAAATGTTACTAAAAATCAGGAAAACAACATAAATTTTATAAGGGTCCTAGATAATACCAACAGAAACCCTAAAAAATTGACATTGACAAGTATTATAGAAAAAAAAACGAACTATAGATAGATCTTTCTGAAATTTTGCATTGTGCCATAATTTCTCATTCTGAATGCAACATAAACAAAAAGGTTACTTTACCTGAACTAAAAATAGTTTTCGTATCACTGTCAAGGTTGAGTTGATTTTCAAAATATAAAAATATACTTAAAATTCTCTCCACACTAAGCAGAGCTTAATTTCCCATCCTTAAAATAATATTCAAAAATTTTTAGGTCATACTTATTGTAACATCTATCCTGGGACACACTGTACATTTTAATCCCTAGTTTAGTGAAAATAACTTTACTTTTAAGTTTATCAGATTGATTTTGTGGCTATAAAATAAACTATTTGTAGGTTAGGTGTTGAGCGGTTTAATAGGAAAATGCATGGTTAACATTGCTTATGACGTCACAAAACGTGAAGTCACATCGAAAGATTAATGTGATTTTTCAGTATGTTCTACACTTAAAAAAAATCGTCGATTTTTAAGCCACAAGATTATTTTTCAAATTTTTATTAAATTTGTTATTTTCGTTTTAGTAACTTCTTTTTTTAATTAAATCTTACAGGCATCCTCTCTGGTTCGCCACCAATTGGGAAATTCATAACAGATCTAAGGGTTTGTGCTCCATAATATTTATCAGCTGGTACATTTAATGANAGACCTAGAACTAGAATCATTCGGGTTTAGCCGTCTTGAGAGACGTGCGGCTAAATCCGAATGTTTCTAGTTCTCGGTCTAGTGTTAGTTCTAGTAACAGTGGTAGGTAGCGCTACTTAGCATAACATATCCCTATATTGCATTTTTTATTGCAGTAAAACTAGAACTAACACTAGACTAGAACTAAAATCATTCTGGTTTAGCCGCCTTGCGAGACATGCGACTAAATCCGAATGTTTCTAGGTCTAGTGTCAATTAACAGAGTCTGTTGACACACAGAATATCAACGACAGGTAGCCAGTCGTTATGTATCGAAATCCTAAGAAAAAAAGGGTGCTTCGTCCGTAAATATACGTTAATGTCACCTATTTTAGTGAAAATAACTTTACTTTTAAGTTTATCAGATTGATTTAGTGTGTGGCTATAAAATAAACAATTTGTAGGTTAGGTGTTAACCGATTTAATAGAAAAATGCATGGTTACCATTGCTATGACGTCACAAAACGTGACGTCACATCGAAAGTTTAATGTGATTTTTCGGTATATTCTACACTTTCTTTTTATTTTTAACGTGTTCTTTTGGGTCATTTCACATTGATTAAAGAAAAATCGTCGATTTTTAAGCCACATGATTCGTCTTGAATTTTATATTAAATTTGTTATTGTTATTTTAGTAACTTCTTTTTTTATTAAATCTTACAGGCATCCTCTCTGGTTCGCCACCAATTGGAAAATTCATAACAGATCTAAGGGTTTGTGCTCCATAATATTTATCAGCTGGTACATTTAATTCACCAAAAGTATCACGTTCTTTTCGAAATTCCGCCTAAAACAAGATTTAATTTGAATAAATAAAATTTTGAATTGATGACATAATAGGACATACCATTATTGTGGATGTTGAATAAATCGACCTCCTGCAGTTATTCACCAAGCTTTTAACGCCTCGCGTTGCAGAGCTACGGGCAAGGTAAGAGAAAGGCATTTTTAGTATCGACCCTGACCCCAAAGACACAAAGAATTGAAAAAACTGGTAGACGAGTCCCTCGTCTGCTCTGATGATGGGCAAGTTTTTTTTTAAAACGAAATGTATAACTTTAGTGTGTTGTAGGGAGTTTTGTACTGAACGGTTTTAACCAGGTATTACGCGTTATCAAAGATTTTGAATTGAAAAAACCTTCTTTGCTGGATACACAAATAATGAGTAAATCTTAAAATGATTAAATAGATCATTTTAAATAAGCTTTACGTTCTATTTTTAGATGGAGATGACTTATAATTAAAATATTAACACAAATTAATAAAAATGTACCTGATTTTGATGAATTCTTTTATAAAAAGAAAAATTTACAAGTAAATTTCATCAAATGAACTTTTCATTTAAAGAGAGAATAGAAACTTGTTGACTGAATGGAATAATCATTGGTTTTTTTTATATGATAACTAGCATCGTTATAAACAATCTAAATTTAGCTTCTTTGAAATATAGCGTGATTTCATCAAAGTCCTTGTAATGTAAATTTACATTCAAGTGAATCAAGATAATTGCTTTAATCTGAGTGATTGTAAAAAAAAACCTTTTTACCCGGATATACACAATAATACAAAACATTACTAATAAATCCTTTTTATATTTTAAAACATTAATTAAAATTTAAATTAGAAATTCCCAAAATTTGAATTTCCCGCCATCTATGATTTTAAAACCAATTAACTAATTTTTTATTTAAATACTAAATTAAAAAATCGATTATTCATTAAATCAATTCAAATCTAATTATTTAAAACCAAAATGTTTTATTAAATCATTATTTTCTTTTGTAATAATTAAACATAATTTTTTTGTAGCTAACTTCATTTATTACTTTTGACAAATTGATTTTTCTTCTGTCAATTTTGTGTTTGCTAGGTTAAAATACAACAATCGTCCGTTTAAATAGAAAAACCACCCGGAAAATTCGTTTATTATGAATACATGTTTAACCCCGCTACCTGTCGAAGATCCGGACGGCGATCAGAGATGGATGAGTATAGTAATACCCACATTTTCTCGAAATTTTCGTTCGGCGTTTTTTAACTTTGCTTCGTTATAGCACAATCGATTCGTTTCCGAAACGAGGGAAAAAGACGCCGAGGTTGTTTTTATTGGGGATTCTATTATTCAAGCTTTACAACATACGGATATTTGGAATGATTGGTTTGTCCCGATGCATTGTTTAAATTTTGGTATTCATAGGGATCAGTTGCAAAATGTTTTGTGGAGGGTTCAAAACGGCGAACTTGACAATATTAAGCCAAAGGTATGGTTTTGTTTTGTAAGTAAAGAGGGGCGCATAAAGTGGGTTAGTTTTTTTAGGTTGTAGTTTTGCATGTAGGTACAAATAATCATGGAAATACTCCCGAAGAAATCATTGAAGGAATAATTGAAATTATTAATACTATTAAAGAAAAATTAAGTAATACTTACATAGTAGTCCCAGTAAGTTTTTATTTTTGTAATTAATAAGTATTGTTAATTAAAAAAAGAAAATTTTTAAAGACACTTTTGCCCAGAGGACAACATCCAAATCCATTACGAACCAGGATATTACAAGTGAATGATTTAATTAAATCAAAAGTATCTCAACTGCCTAAAGTAGAAATTGTGCCTATTGAAAATGGTTTTATTCAACCAGATGGCACTATTAGTCACCATGATATGTATGATTATTTATTGTTAACAAATTCTGGTAGTAGGAAAGCTTTTGAACCAGTTTATGAGATGTTACAACAATTGCTTAGTGAGGGAGAAGTTGAAAAGGAGCTCACACCAACCGAATAACATCGGATTATGGTGTTTTTCATAGAATCACCCATTTATTTATTTTTATATTGAATGCTAAAAGAAGAAGCAGAAGCCTGCGCATCATTTAATTATTATTCTTTAAGGGTACACATTCCTATTTTTCATTTTCACTCTTTTTTTCTCTTTATTTCCTAATCAGCCTGTGAACTGTCCATAAGTATGTTTTGTGTGGAATATTGATTTATTTATTTTTTTTTAATGGGAGGAAATTGTGATAATATACTCTTTGTAACTTCAGGATGTTTTGATTGGTACAAAAACTTTTGAGACATTCTTCTGTATTATCTATTATCAACATTATTTTTTTAGTCATTATGTTAGGGCTTTGACTGAAAGTATGAATGCTTCTCCCTTATTTGCGAGAAATTGATTGAGCATTTGTGATTAATTCTTATTTTGTAATTTATTTCTTTGTATGTTTACAATAAAAGCGATTGAATTTATCTTTGAAATGTTTTTATTTTAACTTTACGTTTTCTAGAAATATCAATTTGCCTTTTTATCATGATAACTGAGATTACCAAGGCAAGTTTAATGCAGTAAACATCCAAAATAACAGTTTCTACACTTCAAATCGAGATTAAATGATATTTTAAAAACAAGGTTTATAATCTTAACATTTAACTGGTGACGTGCATGTTGGGGTCTTAGCGACTCATGCCTTTTTAAGAACCTTTGGTATATTTTTTTCTCAATTTGCTGTTTTATACTTCATTTCATACTTTACTTAATTATAAAAGTGTACACTGTGTTAATTAATTATCATAACCCACGTGGCCTGTGTAATATTGGCTGCCTATCTCAATATATAATGGTAGCTTGGATAATTTTAAATTAGTAACGTACGTTTTAAATATCGTACGTTATTATTATGATTCTCGTCTGCTTTGTGAGTTTCAGTATTTCCTTTGTTCTTTAACCGTTTTTTGCTCAAATCAAAATAACCACTACTTTCAACATTAATTTTAATTTATGGGTACACTAAAAATTATTTTAAATAAAAGGGCAGAATGTTAGACCTTTTTTTATATTTAAAATATTTTTTTAATTATTAAAATATGTTTCGCCATCGTTTTTAGGAACTTTCGTCGCGTTGTAATACCAATGTGTGATATTGGTTGCATACTCTGTCGGATACGATAATTAATTAACAGACATTTTCTAACGCTATATTAAACAGGAGCACCTTTTTCTAAAACAATTTTTTGTTGTTTCAGTGTACAAATTTTATACAATTCACAATCTATATTATAAATGGCCAATTTTACATAATTTTTTGAACAAAACTTGAATAAAACAATTAAAAATTTTTTTGTTTTCATTTATTTCTATTCTAATTGTAAATTATCAAATTTTTCAGTATCATAAAAACTAGCTTTAACTTGTCGGCCGCCAAAAAATCTCCCATTTAAATCGACAACAGCTTTAATTGCGCTTTCAATCCGCTTAAATTCTACAAAAATCCTAACACCTTCTTCTGGATTGCTAGTATTAATTTCATGAATTATAACACTTCCCACATCTCCATACTTTTGATTACATTCGTCTTTAACTTCAGGTTCTAAATCGTCATCAACTTCACCTGGTCCAACCATATTTCTCAATAAAACCACTTTACTTGGAGCTTTCATCATTTCAGTTATAGTTGGTTCTGATTTATCATCAGGTGAATATGAATCTTCTATCATAGGGGCTGGTTGAATTTCTTTTTCATGGATAATCCTTCCACCACGTTTTGATGTTTTTTCAACTTGTAAAGCCATTGACATTCCTTGTTCTTGTTTACCTAATCCTTGGCCTTCTTTAAATCCATATTTCGCCATGATTTTTGCCGCAACGGAAGAGCCACTGTAACTACTACTGTTATTGTTGATATTATTGGTGGTATTAGTACCACTAGTAGGAGTTGAAGATTTAGAGGTAAGAGAACTACTTCTTGGTGGTGATAAAGCTTCTTGTAAACTAGGAGGTGGTGCAATTGCAGCACCTTGTCCCATTCTAGTAATTTTTGGAGGTGGTTCTATTTCTTCTTCATCATCAGCCCATCTTCCTGCAAAACCACTTCCAATTTGTGGTAAACTGGCTTGTGGGGGAGTATCATCTTCCGCTTCGCTAAATCTCGATTTTCGACGCCTATCCCTTCTTTTTTCTTCTTTTTCTAAGTCTCTATCGCGGTTATCACGAAGTTCTTTCACTATCTTTTCGTATTCATTTGGCCATAATGGGTCGTATTCATCAATAACATTCCAATCATATTCTTGTTTATAATTGCTTCCGGATATAATTGGAAGTTGTTGCTCTTTACTTCTAGTGGAATTATTATTTGAATGTTTGACGTCTTCATCGTGTTTTTTATGTTTTAAATCGATTACAGGGGGCAAACTGGCCTTCCTTTGTTGGTCTCTTTTAGGTTGTGTTACAGCGGCTTTTTTTAATTGTAATTGGGATTGAAGTAGTTTTATACTGGATGACCAACCTTGTACGGATTCCGTGGGGCGAGCTTTTACATCGAAATCGTCGTAAAGAGACATTTTATAAGATAAATACAATTTTGTATTGTTGACAGTTGACAGTTTTAGTTTGGGGATTTTTTTTTTTGGTTAAAATTAAAAGTAACTAAAACAAGATTATGTAACTAAATTTTTTGACAGTTGTAGATATAACCTCAAATTTTATCAATTTTATTAGAATGGCTTCAAAAGCAGATATACGCGATATTTCACCGCTTTTGAAGAAATTACGCGACTTTTTACTGGGGAGAGGTCATACTAAAGCGTTAAGATTTCCACCGGAAGTTGCTACAAGATCTCCACCGTTACCAATTCTTCCTGAGGGACCCTCGCATAGGTTATTCAATAATTATTATTACAGCAGAGATGGTCGTAGAGAATTGATGCCCCCATCTCTGATTTACCCAGCCCAAAAGCAAATTGCGGCTGCTTCCCCGAAAGAAGCTAGTGTTGGAGCACAACGTGCGCCAAAACCTGGTAATGTTTACGCGTGGGATTAAAGATGTAAAATGTATTAATTGTAAATAGTAATTATTTGAGAAATATAATAAATATTTAAAGAGTTATGGGGCTTTTTCTTTATTAGGTTGGAATAATAAAAGTTATTTCTTATATTCTATTTTTTTTTATTCATGTTAATGTTATATACATTATAATACAGATAAATATCTAGATAAACATTATAGTACACAACTGATGACACCGATCGATCTACTTCGCTAAGTTTTTTTCTGTATATATATGTTATAATTTGAACGTGTTCGTGATACGTTTTTTAATTTTTCCTTTTTAAACATTGTATTGACGGCGGTGACGCCAACATCATGCTCCGAAGCAAAATATAACTATTACATATTAAGAAAATAAACGCCACTCTGATATACTTGGTTCGCAGCTCACCGAACCCCGGAAAACAAAGTCTGCCGTCTCCGCCGCCGAAAAACAGCCTCTAACACACGTATTTTTATTATTTTTTTCTTGTAATTGGTAATTAAATTGACAACCGATGCATGCGTGTTATCTAACGCACCTACTTAATTGACAAAGACTACAACGGCCGATTTGTGTGGGGCCCTGCTTCGCTTGTTGTTTTTCCCCAGAGGTGGCTACATTGTTTCGTTGTAAGCTAAGCAACACAGTTTTTTCATCTCGCTTTTTTTTATCTACGTAACAAAGCAACGAGGTGCTACCATCCACTGTAACTCCTCAGAATTAGAACGTTCAATGAAAATAAAAAAAAAACTGTGTTATGCGTGTAATAAAAGGTGTCTTTAATTTAAATTAAATACAAAGTATTGTGTGTAATCTTAAATAATATATTTGTTTCAAATTAAATCACATATTTTTTATTTTTTTTTTTTTGATTAGTACATGCATATCACTAGAGTTTTCGGTCAGCTTTTTCTGTTTTTTTTTAATTCTTAATATAATACATAGAAATAAAATCTTAATGAGTAAAATACTTATTTCATAAATTATTTAAAGAAGAGGATAACAATTGGTTAACAGTGTGGTGAAAATTCATCAGTGCTATTTTATAAAAACCGTCAGGTTATGAAAATATTTAAAGAAACCTGGTTTCATCTAATATTTTTCTAACCGACAGTATACATTATTTTATATACAGGATTATACAAAAGGAAATAAAATACTACATTGATAAACTCATAGCTTTTGAATCCCATAAATAAAAAACTACATTAGAAAAGAAAAGTTGTATCCAACATCTTTTATCAATTTCTTATAGAAATCAATTAAACAATAAATACGACAATAATAACACGAAGATAACAATAGTGGATGGTAGCAGGAATCTAATATAAGCATCTTGTTATTAATAATTTGTTAACAATTGTGCGGTAAGTGTCTACACCGTCCCACGTTTTGTTTTCAGCAATAATAGCGTATTCTACGTGGCGCCTCCCTCTTTTTCTCTCCCCATTAAACTTTTTTAAATAGAATTTCATTTCTCGCCTATTGAGCACGCTCCTCTTCCCCGTCTCATCGTCAAAAATACTCAACTAAAATGACCCTAATATCGAAGAAAATCATAGATGGCTAATATACGAAAAGGTAAATTAATTTAAATAAAAGCCCAACATTCCAACGTTTTAACCACAAAGTCCACGTTCGGCGTTAATGGCTCATTTCCGTACGTTTGGCACGGTTCCGAACGGCCTTGATACAAATCCCCATCGAGCCATAAACCAAATTTTCCATCACCAGCTCCAATACTCAAACTCTCGTTGTTACCTTTAATGAAATATAAATTTTCACCAGTCCAGTTGTATACCTGGAATTCTGGACTAAAACGGAATAATAATGATTCACCAGTACCATAAAAATGATCTGATACTTGTAAAGCGCAGGATGTTAATGCACCAAACACCTTAAAAAAAATTAATTTAAAAAATTTCTTAATTAAATCAAAAAAAACTCACATTATTGTCTGTGTCTTCAATAACAAGTAAAATTGGTGATTCCAATTTATACATTTTTCGATACATTGAGTTTAAGCTAAATCCATGTTGGCTCGTACTAAAAACGAGAGTCCAAACGTATCCTTCCGCCCTAGCTGGTAAATGTCTGCACAACGCTTCGCGATGGGTATCTGTAAGTATTTCGGTAGCGCCGACGAGATCTGGTGGTGATAAATCGACGTCCAAGGATGGTTCCGAAATGTAAGTGGCTTTGCGTAGCTCGTCGGACATGGGCAAAACCTACAGCATTCCGATAAAACGTAAATTAAAATCAAAAAATTAATAAGATAAAGAACGATTTGTAGACATACAGCATAGCTACAACCAATTATGTGCAGCGAAATAAAAATAGGAGAAAAATAATCGAAATAAAAAAATTGAAATTAATCAAAGAAAGGAAATGGTAAATTTAAATGTAACAAAAAGACTTTATTTAAAGATTATTGTTATATTTGATAAAAAATTAATTTATACTGAAACGTTCCTAACATTAAAGATTGTAATGATCATTATAATATTCCACGCAAGCAGCTTATTTAGTGAGCTACATTATGATTACTATCTTGATAACTCTAAGTGGTTTGCTACAAGACGCCGGCTTGTAATAATCATTATTGTTATGTTTCTCGAACTTATATCATTACGATTCAGCAACTTAACGTTTTTAATGTTTTGTTGTCACTAAAGAAAAAACAAGTGTATATTTTTGTGTGTATTCCTAGTAGAAGAAAACTTAACGAAATTTTATGTTAACCAGAACATTTAAAACAATCTCAAATAATTAACACTTATTGCAGAAAATTGGGGGAATGCAGAAATTTGTACAGCGTTGATGATGAAAAGAATGTTTTTCAAATGTATGCCTCAACATTTCATCAACCTCATTTTCTCATAAATGTTACATTATTATTAATATTAAAAAATTTAATAAGAATGTTATAAGAATCAGAATAAATTATAAATTCGTTTTTTTTCTATAATACTTATCAAGGTAAATTATTTAGGATTTCTGTTGGTATTACTTAGGACCCTTATAAAATTTATGTTGTTTTCCTGATTTTTAGTAACATTTTTAGTAACTAAATAGTTGAGGTTAAAATACTAATAAATTTTTAGATAAATACGATTTTAACGAAGTACAGGGTGGTTCAAATTCGATGTCCGAATAGGCTATCTCGGAAACTATAAGAGTTAGAAGAAAAGTAGCTGTAAAAAAGTGTCCATATAATGTCTTAGTTATAATACTCCACCTATAATAATAACCAAGTTAATTGCACTTCTTGGTTTTACGTTATATTTTCAGTTTTGGCCTCTAGGGGAAAAACAAAAGACGATAGCGCTTTGAGGTTTTCGGCATTAGCAGTTTCTCGAAAAACGAGATCATGACATGTAAGCTACTTTTTTTCTAACTCTTATAGTTTCCAAGTTAACCTCAAACCATGGAATTTGAACGACCCTGTACATATTTATTGTAAAAACGTGCTACAAAGTAATTAAATAGAACAAAACACCTTTTCTAGGTAAACAAATGGCAAATATACACCCTAAAACATTTTTTATGCGTCTTCATCACTGACGTCAGTGTGACATGATACAATAATTTGACAGGTATTATAGAAAAAAACCGAACTTTGTTTTGTTATACTGTAGCTTATTTTATTGCCATAAAAGCACACTTGAACTTTATCCATAATAAAGTATAGGTAAAAAAATTATTATACTGTAGAACTTCAAAATGTTTGAGAATCACTGCACTAGACTTTATTTTATAAGCGCAAAAATTATTGCACTGAATCATCAATGATTTTGGGGTAACATTAATACAATTTGGACGACTAGAAGAGATAGTTTAACAGATTTAGTTGATGTGGATAGTATTTTAGATTGATTTTTAGCATTTGCATGCATTGGGAGATGTCTGATGACACATTACCGTATTATCTAGAAATTTTGTTTCAAAAAATCTGTACCTACTTCATTTGTGATCTACAACCTATGTCTACACTTCCGCTTCTGTCTAAGTTATTTAAGAAAGTCCTGGCGGGATTCATATTCACCATGAAAAATGTGATGCCTCATTATTTGTCTGCATTCGTAAATATCGATGATGATTTGGTCTTAGCAAAGGTGTTTTAACTTTACATGGATATTTGAGTGTATAATATTAGTAGTCAAAAAAAATTTGTCGGTTTTAGATTTTGAGATATGACAATTTTCGTTTTTTTAAATGGAAACAACCACTGATTATTCGCTTATTAAATTCGTTATTTTTTTCTGATTACAAAAATATAGGGTTTGACAGGTCTATTTCTTATTGTTTTAGAATAAAGCTAAAAATAAACTTTTTTTTTAATGTCGTCAAAGAAATTAAATTTACAGTTTCCTGTAAATTATAACTAAAAATTAAAAAAACATATTTCTGATATTTGAATCAAATACATTTGTTGAACTATTTCATTTATAGCTGTTTTACACAAAAGTTGGAATAAATTGCATTATTTCACATTTTTTATTAATATTTACTATTATTATTAAATGACTTAATAAATTATTGATAGATGGCGCTCATATATTTTTTTAATTCAAATAAACATAGCAACATTTGTTTGTAGGTATTCAACAATTTTCTGAAGTGTCAAATTAAAAATCCTGTTTTTTAAGATGGATTACGAAAATTACGAAAAGCTTAACATGTTAGAATATTACATATTAAAAAATAAAGTAAATGTTATATAAATTTTTAGTAGAATAATTTTTAGTTATAGTACCGTAATTTACAGGAAACTGTAAATTTAATTTCTTTGACGACACTAAAAAAAAGTTTAATTTTAGCTTTATTTTAAAACAATAAGAAATAGACCTATCTAACCCCATATTTTTGTAATCAGAAAAAAATAACGAATTTAATAAGCGAATAATCAGTGGTTATTTCCATTTAAAAAAACGAAAATTGTCATAATATCTCAAAATCTAAAACCGAAAATTTTTTTTTGACTACGTCATCAAATTCTCTGTTAAAAAGTGTCCATATAATGTCTTAGTTATAATACTCCACCTATAATAATAATCAAGATAATTGCACTTGCTGGTTTTACGATATTTTAGTAGTAGTTTTGGCCTCTAGGGGAAAAACAAAAGACGATAGCGCTTTGAGGTTTTTGGCATTAGCAGTTTCTCGAAAAACGAGATCATGACATGTAAGCCACTTCTTTTCTAACTCTTATAGTTTTCGAGATAGCCAGTACAGTGCGGAAATTTCTAGAGAAAAAATGTAGCAAAAAATAATTTTCTAGTGTAGTGGCATTGAAATAAGATAGCATAGGTTACGAAAGCTGTATTTAAAGAATGATATATATCGAGCGTAGCCTTATAATTTTGCTGAACGATAAACAACAATGCAATTTGTTGTAACAAAGAAATGTATAGAAGAAAAATCCAAGAAATGGTGGAATCTTCCAAAACATAATTATTTTTAATAAAGACATTTTTGTATTTATGTACAAATCCATTTAATTCCTCAATTAGTCCGGTTTCAAAGTAGATTGTTTGAAAGTAATTAAAAGGATGGAACCGATTATCCGGACTATGCGAGATATTACTGTATAGTTGGGCTGGAATTGCAAAACGAGCATTTTACAAATTAAAACCGTTATATACTCAAAAAATCGCGATTTAAAGAAACAATGGTAATAGTACAAATCTGATTTTTGTGGTTGAGATAAAAATAATCTTAATATGTGGCTATGAGGAGATATTGAAGGTTTCTAAACATATGGGTAGCTTTTTAATAAGTTAATTATTGCCGGGATTAATTACCTCGTTTTTGCTGTAGTTTAAGTATGGATCTTAAACTACAGCAAAAATTCTCATTATATCGTTTTAACCGTACTTAATTAGAGCTAAATTTTAGTAGCTCATTTTCCTCAAATCATTTTTGTTTGTGCGTTTTCACTTTTTTGTTTTATTTCTTTTTGTATTTTTTGTTTTGCTTAAATGTGTTTATATTACACACTTATTAGCCGATAACATTATACACATATATTTTAAATGAGTTTTTTTTTTGAATGTAAATATTTTGGTTAATATTATCCAAATATTATTTTTGTACTGCAGTCAAAAAACGTATTATAATTAAAAGTGTGTATTTATTACATAACACATTTAATTTGCTCTTACAAAAAATAATGCTTTCATATGAACAATTCCATTATTTTTTTTTTTTGCTTGCGTGCAATAATCGCATAAACACACAATTTTAATTCATTTTACATGAGGTTTTTATCTTCAATTTTACGTGGTTTTTCATTCGTGTAGTGACACTGAAATGAACTATCCAAAGCTTATTATTTATGTAAATAAAAAAAGATCGAAAGTTTTATTTCAAAGTCGATTATTTTTATTTATTATGTAAAAGTGATGAAGATAGACGTAAGTAGAATGCAGCTGTATAACGTACACCAAAAATAACATACAAGGATGTTTAAAATTTCATTTTCTCTGCGAATTATCTGCCTATAATGTGTGTATATAGGTCAAAAGTAGAAATACTCATACCCTGGAATATATTTTTAGAAGCAAATTCAGGTTTATTGTTGTAACTTTTATTAACATCATTTACTACCACCCTCACAAGGACATAACTTAGTATTTGTTAGTAAAATTATGAAAATTTTAACAGATTTAACCAAGATTACAATTCAAAACGTGTATACGTTGGTTTAAAAATAACTCACGAAACCAATCAATCTCAGATGGAAGTAAATTTTCATACAACAACGAATGCATAAATGAATAATAAATTTGATTAGATGATCTCAACCCACATTTCAAAGAAAACCAGACGTATATCGCAATAAATATCGCACATGTTGCGGTGAATTTTAATTTAAATTCAAATAAAGGTCAACTTATATTTATAAACAATTTTTTCGTACAGAAACAAATTAAGAAAGTAATTACAACGCACCATGACAAGCATTCAAATGCTTGCAAAAATTGGTCTGTTATCAATCTTATAATTTACATAACAGGGTATAATTTTCTCTACGATTGCCTCTAATTAGAAAAAAAAATTTGATATGTTTATGATACCACGTAGTACATGGTACTGCAATGAATCCTATTAAACGATTAACTAATAATTCATTAAATGTAATTATTTTCGACTAGGTAGGTAGTTAAATATAGTTGCAATTGGTAATAATAAATGATATAAAAAAAGGGAATAATTTCGAATATTTTAAAACTACGGTAAAAATGAGGCTCAAACTAGATAATAATAACCTTAACAGTGAATAGTTTAAATACGCATAGATAAAAAAATCTTTAACATTATAAAGATTAAAAACAAATAACTTATTTATTTTACACAACCGAGAATTTTAAATCATTTATAAAACGACTATCAAAAAATATATCGATCGATACTTTGGAATGTTAAAAGAAAGTGGTTAACCTTGTCCTTCCTTCGCCGCCACCACAATACAAGAAGTGAAGGTAGAATAGCAAACTTGGACAAAATAAAATAAAATTTAAAAAAAATTACACCAAACTTACAATATCCATCGTTCGAATAATTCAAAATAATACACAAAAGAATGAAACCACCGCTGTAAATGCTCAAAACAGACTGTCACTCGACGCACCTCTATTTACGTATTTAGAAGAGTAACACACCGACAATACACCAACTCCAATTCCGACCAATTAACTACACGACATGTACCGGGATTAACAATTATTAACAAACCTTAACGATCGCAAAAATAAACGCGCAACGGTTTATAAACAACAACGTTTTTCAAAGGTCCCACACACTCTTTATTATTACCTTTACTTCTTTTCTTTATCGCTTCGATATAAACCGGTTGTACAACGAACCGATAGCGGCGCGTAATTTTCGTTGAATGATTTCAAAATTTAAAAACGAACTGTTTTGGTTTTATTTATACGAAGGATTATGTCATCATCAAACCGAATTGATTAACGAAACGTGTAATTAAAACAAAAACGAAATCATATTGAAAGAAAAACAACAAAAAAAGGATGTGGTTATGATAAAAACGTGGGGAAATAAATAAGGGGGAAGTGATTATGTTCCTATCTCTAGTTTACACCGACAAAATTAACTTGCAACCACACACATTCTCTAATGAAGCTATTGCTACTAATAACAGAGAGAGCGTTTTTGCATCATGTTGAGTAGACAGAGATAGAGAAAGAGGGGGAAGGGGGGAAATCTAACTTAAGACATTAAGGCACGCTGCATTATGAGTTTCTAAAGCAATCAAAATGAATTCGGTTAATGACGCATCGGTTACAGAGCAAAGTTTTAAAAAATTATTTTGTAGTTAAAAATATACAGTGTGTCTGGATTATAAAGAGTTTTAGAAAAATTTTAGGTTTATATAATTTACTATGTTTTTAATATTTGTGTTAAAATACAAATAAATGATGCAGCAGACTAATCTTTTTTATTAAAGAAAAGTTTGTGGTTTTTCAAGACGAACTTGTGATGAAGAGTGTTGATAATCCTTCCCATGTATGTGCTCTTTCCAAGGAATCAACGTTTATTATCATTACACAGCGTGCACGTGGTTACTATGATTTTCCGATGGCTATCCTGTTATCCAGAGTGTCATATTCACAATAAAATTGGTTTTTGGACAGGTTTGGGCGATTGAAAAGTAGTATAAATAAATAGTAGTATAGTTTAAATAAATTGTAGACAATTAATAATTCACCACGTTCCTTCAATATTGTATTGTGTAGTCAATCTAAAATCACGGATGAGAAAATGATTATCATCAAACTATCTAAGGTCTTATAGTTGTTCTCGTGTTTTGACTTAAGTTGTTGTATATTGTATTAGAATGGTTATTAAACATTTTATTCAATCTTGTTTCTTTCTTACAAATCGTTTTTAATATTATAACAATGTAAGTCATTGAATGTTTTTTTAATATACACAAAACGATATTCTTGACCAAATGCTTTTTAAACGATTGATCCAATGTAATACTAATGACAATTTGGCTAATGATGAATAATTGAATTTGCAACATGAATCCCGAATATATATCTGTACCTTAGAAGTAAAGGATTGTATTATCCGTTATTGTAGGTTTTTTAGAAAACAACGTTTAAAGTTTTATAATACTATTATAGTAATTTTTATAGTAATTAACTCGATATTGACAAAAACTGGAGTTACGATCCTTTACCCTTAAGGTACCGATGTACAGGTGTCCAGAAATGACGTGTACAACGGAAGACCACAAGTACTACCGTAACCAAAAATATGACGATTTAACTCAACTTATCTATATACAAAATTGCTTACTTTAGTCGCTAGAGGGCTTTAAAAATTCATGATGGATCAAAGATAAAACGCAAAACGAAAAATACGAATACCGCTGTCACGTTATAAATTAAATAATTTTATTTTGTTGCATCAAAATAGATACATTCTAGCTAAATAAAAAGCTGGTTACTAAATATGTAATTTGATTCCAATCACAATCATTGTTACTATGTTTGAAGATTTATAAACATTATTATTTTAGTAAATGTTGTGTATTTTGTGCAATTTTCTCTAAAATAATTTTAACGTTTTATGATTTAAATATTAGTTTCAAAATACTCTTAATATCCATAGACACACTGTATCTATACAAAAAAGTTGTATAAAAATTAAAAATATATCTTTGCATCTATAAACCATCATCAATAAAATAAAATTATTAAAAATTAACTATTCAACCAATACGATTGATTTTGCAGTTGAAAGAGAAAGTTTTTCATTTTGGGGGCTGAAAATAACTCAACATCTAGGAAGAGATTACTTCTCTAATTAATAAAGTCGAGATACGAGAAGGTGATCGATAGTGTCTTGGTATTTGTGGTGTGCGTGCACGTTTTAATAACTGATGTTTTAATAAATTTTTTTTGTTACGGGATTTTTATCAGTCAAAATTTTGGCATTGCATTGCTCTTAAGAGGTTGTTTTTTTTGTTTTGTGGTTTTTAAAATGGTTCACCTCGTCACTGCCATCGGCCGACATGGTCTGCGTCTTGATGATGCTGTAGATCTTAACATAAGGGGCCTTGATGAGCTGCACGCAACAACAACAACAGAATCATCTCCAATTTCATCTTTCACAAATGATGATGTTCGATCAATTTTTTTAAAACCCGGTATGATTATATTGATTATAATTTTTTTGACTACGTGATTCATTCTTTTTTCAATTTTAAACTTACCTCCCAACTTTCCCTGGTTAAATCGGAGAGTTCCCCATCTTGACTTCCATGACGACTTCCCGTCTGTTGAGGTTCTTCAGTCCAAAGCTCTGTATCTAATTCGACTAAACCTCTCGCTTGTATCTTTAAATTATTTTAACATAAATAAAAATGATTATCACAAAAAAAAATTATTTCAAACCTGTTCTTCTGATAATTCCCCATATAAATGTGGAACCCAAACATTTAGGAACGTATAAACTTCATCTACTTTATTCTTTGGTACACTAAACCAATACTCCGGTCTCATCTTCTTTTTTCCATAACTCATTAGTGGAGTATTTCTAGGTATTGGTTTATCTATTGGTTTCCCCATTCGTAGCCTTAAGTAAAGCGGAGGATCGTCGCATGATCTTGCCGGTCTCGGAATTAACTCTAAAACGGTTTATTTTAGTCTCGAATTTAATATTAACAACTTTCACAACATCATTTAAATTAAAAACATAAATTATTGAAATAGCCAATTCAAAAACGAAAAACCGATTACAAATTAATTTGATTACAATCAAAATCATCGTCATGCACCATCAGTTTGCGGCATTTATTACATGCAACCTACCGAGCGTATCAAGCCCAAAGTGCGGAGAGCGCACTGCAGCAAAATGTAACAAAAAAAATATACACAATAACAGTTACTTGTGTGTGAATGAATAAATGGAGTGAACTAGTGGCTCTATTTTGTTGAATTAAGTAATAAACTAATCAATGTTAATAAATACGACAATCAGAACTGTGAAAATAGTAATTAAAGTGAGGCGACGTCCAAAAAAATGGTCGAAAGCAGATAATCAATAAAAAATACTACAAAAATTATTATAATGTGTGTAATAATACAATTGCAGTTAATAATTAATTTTTTTCATCAATGACTCTATTATTATAATTAAGAGGGAGATAACGCGTCCTGCTTTCTCCAAGTTTCAAAAATTGCACCCCACATGTAGTATTCCCAATAGCTTCCAACCATTACAAAAACAAACCTTTAACCTAAATAATCCTTCATTCTGTTACTTTTGATTATAAAAATATCTACAACTATATACTAGATTTCATCTCTCTCAGAAAAAAATTAACAACCTTTTATGCTAAAAAAACTATCAACCACTTACTGTCAAACGAAAGGAAGAGTTCTGGCATATCATCCACAGAAACCATTGACCGATAATCAAGCTTTGGAGGGGGAGCTTTTGACACTTTTGAGGAATCCGTCGATTGTTTCATAATTGTCCCAACAGACGACCGCCTAAAATTATAAATTATAATCATTTTATGGTATAAAATTAAGTAGGTGTACACAAAACCTAAATGCAAGAAGCGTGGTGATAAAAAAACAATGTGTTGTTGTGGTTGAAGTAGCAATAATTATTTAAAGTGTTTTGTATAAGTGTAACAGCAAAAGACACTCTCTAAAACACATCTACAACATACCCGACGGCACCAACAGTAGCCCCAACTGCGTTAACAGCACCGCCTACAGCATTAACTGCCCCGCCGACAGCGTTAACGGAGGCACCGACGGCGTCACCAACAGCACCAACGGTCGCGCCGACGGTAGCACCGACAGAGCTAATAATGTTAGTTGGAAAGAAGCTAGCGGAGCCATCCGGATCAACCGAACCGCCGGTGGCCGGTGTAAGAGGCGGGCCCCCGCTTCCGCCCGAATGGGGACCGCCAGAACCACCGCTCTCTTCCGACGGCGTCTTGCTCAAGAATAGACCCGTGCCGAAATCGACCAGGTTAATCGGCGAGCTTGCCAGGCAGCGTTAGTACATGAGATGAACGCCAGAAAAAGAAACCCTTCCCAAATTGTTTAACTTACCTGGAGAAAACCTTTGAGAATACCGAGGAATGATGGACGTCAGCTGCTGAATGGGGATGTGCTGAAGTTGGTTTTTCGTCCTCTTTTTCGTTGCTAAATGTATCCATCCAAGATAGTGGGTAGGATAACCGTTTTAACATCTATTCAGAGACAAATAAATAGTATTATTATTCATAAAAAATTTTTTTTTTCTATACTTATTTATGATCATTACGAATTGATTTTAAAGTAACAATATAATAATGTCTCAGATAATTGATATTAGTCGTTCATATACAAGGACGGTAATATCTAAAAAAAAATGTAACATCCTGGGAACAGGTGTATAGCTCGACGGCCCGTTCGTGACGTCACGTTTTGGTCTCACGCTTTGAATTGGTAAATGATGACTTTATTCTATTCGTGTTTTGTGATGTTGTTAGTTTGAGACTTAATAAAGTTCATAATATAAAAGAAAAATTTTGATCCAGTTTAGTCGTGCTTCTCTTAAAACGGCTAAACTCGAAACTTTTTAGTTCTAGGTCTAGTGTTATTTCTAGTTCAACAAAAATATACAATGGCGCTGAATAACAATTAAAACTAGAGCTAACACTAACACTAGATCTAGAAACATTCGGGTTTAACGGTTTTAAAAGACGTGTGGCTAAATCCGAATGTTTCTAGGTCTAGGGTTAGTTCTAGTTTTAATTGTTAAGCAGCGCTAGATTGTTGTATATTTTTATTGAACTAAAAGTAGAACTAACACTAGACCTACACTGTGTTAATTAATTATCGTAACCCACGTGACCTGTGTAATATTGGCCACCAATCTCAATAATATGTAGTGGTAGCTTGGATAATTTTAAATTATATTTAAAATATTTTTTAATTATTAAAATAAAGGGTGGTTCAGTTTTTAATCGGGAAACTTTACTAATAAGACGTAGTACTTGCCAAAATAACACAAGTTTTTATATAAACGTAGGGTCGCAACTCTTTGTTTTCGAGCTATGAGCTGTCAAAGTTGAGCCAAAAATTTACATTTTATCTTTTATTTTGGGTATAAGTAAACCGTAGAATTTGAAATTTTGTAAGTACTGGTTAATACCTTATTTTCAACTATGCCTTAAACTTTCCAAGTGCCCTCTAAGGGGATGAAATTTACAACCCCTTTTATTTTTTTATAACAACTTTTTAATGCCATGGAATATTAACATAAAAAATATGGGTTGTAAAGCTTATTCATTATTGCTACTTTTTGGCTACTTAGTTTTTTTTCTTAAAGATAATAGTTTTAGCGTAAAAAAAATAAAATATGCTACATTGTACCGTGAAGCGCTGCTATTATTTAAAGAAAATTTTTCTTTATAGCTGGCTATGGAAGTTGTGCACTTACTAGGATCTATAACTAACTAAATAACACCAATTAATTGTGATTTTCATTAGAAAAACCATAAATAAGTTGAATGTTTATCTGAACAAATTACATTGTTTTAAACAATATTAAAAAATCGATACTCTTGCTTAATAATAGTCAAAAATTATTAATAATCATTAACAGTTATGAGGAACTTTTAGAATAATTTTAGCTAAACATGGCGACACATAGCGGTACATTGCACGACAATTTATTTCTTTACACAGAAACTATTAACTTTAAGGAAAATACTAAAGAGACAAAAAAGTACCACTAAAGAATGAGCTTTACAACTCATATTCTTTTATCTTAATATTCCATAGCGTTAAAAAGTTCTTATAAAAAAATCTTATAAATCAAGGGGATGGTGAATTTCATCCCCTTAGAGCGGTAGGGAAGTTTAAGGTATGCTTGAAAATAAGGTCTTAACCAGTAGCAAATATGTACAAAGTTTCAAATTGTACGGTTTACTCACAGCCCAAATACAACGAGTTGCGACCCTACATTTATATAAAAAAACTAGTGTTATTTTGACAAGTACTACGTCCTACTAAAGTTTCCCGATTAAAAACTGAACCACCCTGTATATCTAAATATATTTTAAACCAAATTTTAAACGGCTTTTAAAGTTAATGAATTGTCACCGTCGTTTTTAGGAACTTTCGTCGCGTTGCAATACCAATCTGTGATATTGGTTGCATATTTGGTCGGGTAGGATAATAGACAACCTAAGCCTTGACGTCACAGAGATGGGCGGAGCTTATACTGACTCCAAACGTTTTCGTTGCTAACTGTGTTGCTAAATCATTAGTGTTAAAATAAAATAAACTAAGTGATGACATTTCAAATGACATTTTTGGCGATTTGTCGTTAGCAACGAAATTGTTTGGAGTCAGTATAAGCTCCGCCCATCTCTGTGACGTCAGACTTAGGCAGTCTATTAATAGAGTGCCTAACACCCACTTTTATCACCTCCTGATAAATTTATCCGATAGATAAATCCAGTTCTCAGCTAATGAGAGCACTTAAAACCGCCGTAACCATGGCAACTATCCTCTAGATAGGTTATTAGGAGGATGGTAAAAGTGGGCCTAAGTCTATTAGGTTGTCTATTAACACCAGTGACATGATTATTAACTGGACTGCGCGTTCCGCATAGTTCCCGTGTAAAAGAGTGATGCCAATAGGTTAGGCAACCAACAGTGACCATTGTAGGCAAAAGCGACCGGCCACACGGCAAGGTTAATGCTATTGCGGGGCTGATAAAAGTGACAAAATGACAAAGTACCTGTTTATAAACAAGTTCAAAATTTAGACGAAAATCATTTTTTTTTAATAAGATTTTAATAATAACATTTTAAAACATTTTAATAATGTCATTTTAGATATTAACATATAGCAACTTGCTCATACTTGTCTTATTATGCTATTTTAGTAAGAGCGCTTTCTTATGGCGCGGCCCGGCTTTTGCCTACAATGACAAATGTTAACACACTGTAGAAACATTCGGGTTTAACAGTCTTGAGAGAGAATAAATCTAGTTCTAGAACTAGTGTTAGTTCTAGTTTGAATTGTTATGCAGCGCTAGATTAGATTATTTTTATTGAACTAAAAGTAGAACTAACACTGTTCTAGCATGTTTCTAGTTCTATGTGTAGTGTTAGTTCTAGTTTTACACTAACACTGTCACTACATTTTTATTGAACGAAAAGTGGAACTAACACTAGAACTAGAAACATTTGGGTTTAGCCGTCTTAAGAGATGTACAGCTAAATCCGAATGTTTCTAGTTCTAGGTTTAGTGTTAGTTCTCTGTAGTGAGCGAATTACCTGAAACATCTTTTATTAAAAGTATATAATAAAAGAAAATATTTTGCAACTTCAATTTTCTTATAATATAAGCAAACAACAACCATCCTTCTAACCTTATTTTTTCTAGTTTCCAATTTCTCTGCTTCATTCTTTCCATCTAAACTTGAATTATTTGGATCAGTTGAATCCGAAGGACAATCTATACTAAAAGAAACAGACGACGTTTTTTTCCTAGCAGGACTTTCCGTTTCGCTCGTCGTTATATGCGTTGGGGCTATGGTGATCGGAGGAACCCAATCCTTTGATAAAACTATATCGGCATCACTATATATCTTTTTGGTAGGTGCAGGTACAACAGCAGGTGGGGAAGGTAATGGTGCAGAGGTTTCTCTGATATCAATTCCCGAATCGTGACAGCTCGACTTGACCAACATCTCCTCGTTCTCAGCTGGCTCTTCATGTTGTAAAAGAGCGGATGAAGGAACCGATAAATCTTCTGTATCAATTGAAGCTCTGTCTTTTGAAGGAATTGCCCAATGATGATCAAGTAATGATTTTCGTCGTTCTTCCGCTGTTTTCACATGCGATTCGGTGTCTTCTAAGTTGGTCGGTGTGACTAAGTCTCGTTCGAAAGCCTTTGGAAACGCATCTCCTTCCCTTTCAGTGCAGGAACATACCGATTCAGCATCATCTCCTGTAACTAACAAAGTAAGCGGTGTTATGACATTATAAAGGCTGAAATCTTTGAAATTATAATTGGCAACTTGCCATTTTTTCAATAACAGGAAGTTATAAACTTATTTCGTTTTTAAACAAACATCAAAAACGTTCCAGTAATTTATGAGTAATATGAATACATTAAATAAAAACAAAATAAATAAATAACTTACTTAATTCAGGAAACGTTTCGTCCTTGACTAGCAATGAATCATTCTGTTCTTTTTCAGGCTTTGGATAATATATTTCAGGTTTTTCTGTTCCACTGTTGCTAACATGACCTACTCTCATATGTGCAATATCGTTATAAATAGCAGCATTAACCACGAATTCCATAGGGGCAATAACTCCATACGATTCAGGACCATGTTCAATAACCAGAGGATCAGAAACATTAGGATCAAACATAACAGCATTGGGAGTTACTAAAAGTACTCCGCTCACAACACCCTGTCCATCTGTAATATGTTTTACGTTGATTTTAAGGAATCTCTTATAAACAGCTGATTCCTCCTCATTTTCTGTGGATCCGGTGGGACCGGACGGGGTGCGGATACGTTCCGCATGCCCCGGTTTAGGACTGACAGGTCTCAGGTTGTCTAACAATTCCTTTTCTTCAGGTGGTAAATCATCGTGGGTATCTTCAATGGGCGTACTACCGTCAGAGTCGTTTTCAGCAGTTTCCCGTAATGGCACGTAAAGTTGTTGACCAGGAAAGATAAAAGTGGTATGTAAACGATTCAATTTGGTTAATTCAGACGGAGTCGTGTCAAATCGAGCCGCTACTGAGGTTAGAGTGTCTCGATCGGCCACCTAATGCAATGAAAAACAACTTCATAGATTAAGTGTTAATTGTTTATGTAAAAATAAACAAACCGTGTATGTAGTTGTGTTTTCCGGCGGCCCGGCTTTTCTACGTTCCGTTAAGCTGGTCGTGGAACCGTCTATTTCTGTAAAGAAAACACGAAAAAAATTGGAAATTTGCCACCCAGGGTACAACATAACCTCACTTTTCTCGTTCGGCAAGTAAACAAATACAAATTCCTGCGGTTCTGTTGTGTATGTGTCACAGTTTGGGTTATCAAAATAATTTTCGATGAAATTCATCGTTGGAAAACCGCAAACACACGCATTATCTTTTATACAATAATAATGGTGATTATACAGTTGGCAACTCTGCATATGGCAGTAGTCATTTCCCTTTCAGATAAAATTTGCATAGTCAACTACAACTATTTATCTGATGAAATTTATTTTTAAACTTTTATTATTATTTTTAATTTAAATGCTAGATAAAGTTTATTTAATAAAGATTTGCAATTAATATTAAATGACGTGTTTGTTATTACAAAACTGATTGATATGTATGAGTTATAAGTTATAAGAGTCAAGGATAAATTAAACAATAACATTGGTGCAATATTGTTTAAACTTATTTGACGAAAATAATTTATGCGTTTATGACGTGATAAGAAACGTTGTTGTAAATTGGTGTAGAATGCAACGACGATTGGTAAAAATTGCTCGCTAATTTGCAACAATTGACTTTTATCGTTTTAGATTGCCAGAGATAAACTTCCGACCAACCTTTATTGGATCAAGAGGAAATTTAATGGTTTAAATTAACCATGGACAATGCATAATACGTTTGTTATTTTCATATCTAAAAATAAACTTTTGAATGTTTAATTATAAAAAACAACGCCATCTTTTGATAAATTTTTGTATACAATTAAAGTAATCAAATAAATGATTTTAACCAAATTTTTTTCCGACCAACCTTTATTGGATCAAGAGGAAATTTAATGCTTTAAATTAACCATGGACAATGCATAATACGTTTGTTATTTTTCATATTTAAAAATAAACTTTTCAATGTCTAATTATAAAAAAACAACGCCATCTTTTGATAAATGTTTGTATACAATGAAAGTAATCAAATAAATGATTTTAACCAAATTTTTTTTTAACAACCCTTTATTGGATCAAGAGGAAATTTAATGCTTTAAATTAACCATGGACAATGCATAATACGTTTGTTATTTTAATATCTAAAAATAAACTTTTGAATGTCTAATTATAAAAAATAACGCAATCTTTTAATAAATTTTTGTATACCATGAAAGTAGTCAAATAAATGATTTTAGCCAATTTTTTTTTTGCAACCAATCTTTATTGGATCGAGAGGAAATTTAATGGTTTAAAAGTTTAAATTAACCATGGACAATGCATAATACGTTTGATATTTTTAATATTTAAAAATAAACTTTTCAATGTCTAATTATAACAAGAACAGCGCCATCTTTTGATAATTTCTTGTATATAATGAAAGTAGTCAAATAAATGATTTCAGTCAAATTTTTTTCCGACCAACCTTTATTGGATGAAGAGGAAATTTTATGCTTTAAATTGACCATGAACAATGCATAATACCTTTCTTATTTTTAATTTCTAAAAATAAACTTTTGAATATTTAATTATAAAAAATAACGCCATCTTTTAATAAATTTTTGTATACCATGAAAGTAGTCAAATAAATGATTTTAGCCAATTTTTTTTTGCGACCAATCTTTATTGGATCAAGAGGAAATTTAATGGTTTAAATTAACCATGGACAATGCATAATACGTTTGTTATTTTTCATATCTAAAAATAAACTTTTGAATATTTAATTATAAAAAATAACTCCATCTTTTGATACATTTTTGTATACAATGAAAATAGTTAAATAAATGATTTTAGCAAAATTTGTTTTCGATCAACCTTTATTGAATCAAGAGGAAATTTAATGCTTCAAAATGCATAATACGTTTGTTATTTTCAATATCTAAAAATAAACTTTTGAATGTTTAATTATAAAAAACAACGCCATCTTTTGATGCATTTTTGTATACAATGAAAATAGTCAAATAAATGATGATTTTAGCAAAATTTGTTTTCCGACCAACTTTTATTGGATCAAGAGGAAATTTAATGGTTTAAATTAACCATGGACAATGCATAATACGTTTGTTATTTTTAATATCTAAAAATAAACTTTTGAATGTCTAATTATAAAAAAAAACAGCGCCATCTTTTGATAAATTTTTGTATACAATGAAAATAGACAAATAAATGATTTTAGCCAATTTTTTTTTGTAAATAAATACAAAGATTAATTTGCTCGTTAATACTTTATAAGTTTATACTATATGAGAGAATTCCAAAAATAAATTTTTGGTAATTCAATAAATTTCGAAGCAGCGCCATCTCTGGGTCGATTCGAGTAATAAATTATAGGTTAAATTGGGGTCGAGATTGTATAGGATCGTACAAAAGTCGAAAAAAAATCCTATTCTTACCTAGATTTCTCTCTAAATGACCATCAACTTTAGCTCGCAGGGCTTCCAAGTCGAATGGTGCCGTTATACCATGATCCACGCTCCTGCTCTTACTCCTATAATAAAAATAATCATTAACAATAAAATAATGAGAAAAATTTTAAAAAAATTGATCGAAAATATAAATAATTAAAAAAAAATCGTACCTAAAAGGAATTTGGTCTGGATTTCTAGTACTAACTTGGCCAATATCCTGCGAGGCTCTCCGAGTCCTAATAAAAATCAACACAAAACAAAATAAAATCAAAAAAAAAAACACATGCATAATAAATAAAATTAAAAATAAAGAAAAATATAAATTACAAATAAAACTTAATAAATATTAATTTTTTGTTGTTAATTTATACCGAAAAAGATAAAATATGGAACGTTTAAAAACGTTCAATTTGAAATGAAATTTTCCAAAAATCTTCTCAAACACAAACGAAAAATTATTACAACACATGTTCTCGCCAAAAGCATTTTACTAAAACTCGTAACTACCTATTCGTCAACAATTTTTTTCAAAGCGAAGAAATACACGTCGACATGAATCACAATTTGCGATAAATAAAGTGCGGATACATAGCGGTGGCAACACTGCGTTTGGATCACCTGGTAACAGGACGTTGCACGGAATTTCAAAGCGAAACAACGCTTTGTAAATTACCAAACTGTGCAAGACGCGAAAATTATGTCACGAGAATAGTAAGAGACCATTAATAACAACAACAATTATTGCGGAAGGTCACTCACGATCGTATTGATACAGAAAAACGGTACGGGGCGTATAAACAAACGTAAGAAATGTTGATCCTTTCCATTTTTATTACGAAACCACGTGGGAACAACAATGAAATGGTATTTATAACATTTCATACACGCCCACGATAAGACTGATCGTATAAAATCGAAATGCATTTTATTTGGATAAATAATATTAATATTAATGGTATTTATAACATTTTATAAAATAAATATAAATACCTATATATTATAAATAAACAAAAATGTATTTTATTTTTATTATTTTATGTTTTTTTGTATATTTTCTCTAAAAATTATCCGTTCTGTTGTCAATAACTAAAGGTTAAATTAATACATACTACAATTTCACAATGTTAACTTAAATGATGGTTTGGGTAAACATTTTCAGCTGATTAGATTTTCAGTGACTTGTTAAAGAAAAATGAAAATTTTCGAATCATATGATATAGTACAGTTTTCTGTAATTAACGTCACCTATTAAAACAAACTTTAAAAATCTAGATAGAATACAGTTTCAAAAAAAAAACAAAATTTAAGTAAATTGCCAATTATAGTAAAATGCCGTGTAAATCATGTAACGGTATTGATCATTCAAGAGTTACTTCAATCAAATGTAAAAATTACGTACCACCACAAAGAAAACGATTTCTACAAAACGAATCTAAAGAAATATATACGATCAAGAAAAGTCTAAAATCTTGGTGTCAAAGCTTTACAATGGCCAATCTTTGGATGAAGAATTTATAATATCGCATCTATCCGATTTCTATTATCATTTACAAGGTAAACGTCAAAAAAAGAACGGATCCCGTTAAATGACGAATATTTTGCTCTAAGATCTGGATTTCCTCAATACGATGGTAGACTAAGTAAGATCTAGGTAAGATCTTTTATAATACAAGAAGCTATCAAGTCTCATTATACGATGATGGAAAATTGTATAACTGTACACTTATTCAGTAGAATCTGAAAATATATAAAAGTAAAATATAATTTTACAAAAGATAAAGTTTACAAAGAGTTATTTTCGAAAGATGAACTAGAGATGTAAGTTTCAAAAAGTATGATTCAGGAAAGTAAGAAATATTGGTGGAAATTGATACCGATGAGCTTCAAGATTGATTTATATTTGTATAGTTTACAAGATAGTAATGAAGAAAAGAAGCGTTTACCGAAAAGCTATCAAATATTTCCTATCTATAAACCTACCAGAAAACATATAAGATATACAGTTTATGGGTTTAATATCTGTCTTTTTATTTAATAATCAAATACCTTTCGGTATTTATACGGCAGAATTATGACGCGGTGAACGGTCTCTGTATTTTATTAATTATCAATTCATATCAACATTCGTAAGTGTTGATTAGAATAACTTAATTTAAACCAAATTTTGAAAGGGAAATAGAATTTAAATAAAAACCAGCTCTAAAATTCTAACGTCAGGTGTGTTATCTTCAGGTGGTTGACAAAACGTAATAAAAATAACGTCGAATTGGAATCTTTTTCTATTTAAATTACGATAACTTTTTCTTCTTTCTCTTGCCCCCATTTATACCTTATGGTGTTGGGGTTTGGATCCATCTTTTATGTATCTTACTATCTCTGATCATCTACTCGGTAGCACACGACTTCATTTATACATACAAAAGGAGACGGTTTTAAGTGCCTTATCACTGAAAACATGATCTTTACTCAAGTTGATGCAGGATAACCTCAGAGAACCTTAGTGGACCAAATACCAGCATTAAATTACTCCTCAGCTAGTACATAACCATTTTTCAACCAGACATACTTGCTATAAACTTCTGCACCGTTTCGGCCAATATAAATCCTTTCTTCCTGTCCGTTTTTTCTATTATTGTCCTGAGGCTGTATATGTAGTCCTGTGTTTGTCTGTTTGGCTGGAACGCCGTTTGTTCCTTTTCGATTTTTCTTTTATCTGGGTTCTCAGCCGTTTTTCTAGAATTTTTGAGTAGAGTTTGAATGCATCTGGCGCCAAACAGATTGCTCTGCAGTTTTCGCAGTTGGTTGTTTCTCCCTTCTTATGGATTGGCACGATTATATTCTTTCGACATTCGTGGGGTATTAATTCAGTATTCCATGTCCGCTGGAATACTTTCCTCAGCTACTGTGCTATTTTGGGACCTCCTCTTTTCAATAGTTCTGGTAATATATTGTTCGTGTTTCACTATTCGCATTTCTCCCTTGTTTATCTGCTCTTCCTCAATACCTTGCTCCTCCTCTCGACTCTCCTCCATGTCTCCTCAAACATGTTTTCCATGTTTTTAATACGTTATCACTGGTCGTCTGTAGTCCTCCATTCTGATTCTTTATGTTCTCTACTATTTTTAACCTCTTGACTACGTTCCAGAATTGTTTTTGATTTTCCCTATAATTTTGATTTAAATTGTTTTCAAATTCTTTCTGAGTTCCCAACTTTGCTCTTTTTACAGCTTTCTTTGCTTCTTGTCTCTTTTGTCTGTACTTTTCCTTGTCTGTTGCCGCTCCCGTTCTCCTGAAGTCCCTCCATGCCTGCTTCTTTTGCTTTATCTTATCCTTGACCGTGGCATTCCACTATTAGTTTTCTTTCGATTTGGCCGGATTTGATTATTTTAGTTCCGCGTACTCTGGTAGCTGTTAACGATAACTTTTTAACGACTTTAATTAGTTGCACATAGGCAAAGGTTGATGTTGGGTCTACGAGAAAAACGAGCCAGCCTACCAATTAACCTAGTTTCCCTATTGGCAACTGGTTCATTCGAAATATATGTAATATTGTACGAATTCAACATATTCTTCTTCAAGAATAAGACTGCGATAATAATGTCTAAAACTAGAATAAATGTGATATTAAGAAAGACTGAATAAGTGTAAGAAAGCAATAAGTGTGTCGATTAGTCAATTATAGAAATATGTAACTGACTGTGATACTAATTAGTTCCCATAAAGAAATGTTTAGTAAAAACAACATAACTTAACATTTTAATATTCAAATTTTTAATGTAACCTAACTTCCAAATAATTCATTTTTAATTGTTAAAATCTATTGCAGAACTAAATCACCTAAAAGCTAAACTTGTTTCATTTTATTTGATAAATTAGGTGTTAAATTTTGAATGAAATTGAAAATTTGCCAAAATCTGCAAGATTATGTTATACTTTATAAAACTTTCCAAGAAATAACGATGATTATTATTTTATTTCAGTTTCAAAAACAAAATAATCCTTAAATAAAAAGAATGTCTAAATTAGAAAATACCTCAAGTGTAAAATTATTATATCTAAATTTATCCATTAAATTAAAATGTTAGAGGACTACGTTCCAAAGAGCCTTTTCTTCCCACACGTCCTTATGATTTACGGTTATCAACTGGTGCAAATGCAATTGTACGTCAAGTACATAATATTGCCAAATGCAGTTCCGCAAACTAAACAGGACGTTGCAACCCAATTTCGTAAAAAAAAAATGAGCTGAATTTCTTCTACTTGAACAGGCAACTAAACTATCCGTCTAACGGCTCGCATCCGTTTCTTTCATTACGAAAGTTACCCGATATACTCAATTGAAACCGTTTCCAGCCAATCGGGTTAATTGTTGTGTTTACCACCACGGGTCTTGTGTTCCGCATGCATCTTTTCCGTTCGCAGTTAAAAATAAAGACTTCTTAACGCGACGATTCATCCGGGAATATTAAAGTTAAATGGAATGTTATGATGTTTTTCTTATTAGAAGAAAGTGGTGTCGCAATAATAAAATTTCAGCCACATGCAAATTTTTTGGCCTGCAGGATACAATTTATCGTTTAGAGTGCAGACACAATAGAATTCGTTTGCCAAGAATATGTTGGCTACTCATCATTTGCTCATCAACGTAATAAGTTGCATAGAAAATTATTGTTTTCTGTTTTTGTGAACATAATTGTCTATAATTTTATTGAATCCATTACATAATAGATGTAAATTGTCTGTTATTATGTTTTCAGATTACCTTAAGTAACAAAAGAAAATATTTTCGTATGTTAGTTCAAATTAGACGTGTTACTTTGAACATTTACGAAAATATTTCCACTTGGCACTTGAAGATATATGTCGGGTTTCTTTATGTGGACACGCCGAAGGTTACGTTCTAGCTATTTTTAAGTTGTTTTACACAGGAACACTAGGATTAGGTGTTTAGTTTATAATTAATAATAAACTCGCAGAACAATCGATTACAGGGTATATAAAATAATAACATTTTTGTATTATAAATTGAAAAGAATTGTTTGATCTTTTTGTTTTTTGAATAACCGTTAAATTTATTTTCTGGTCATAGAAAATATCCTTAAATTCTATCCTCTTATTTCAATTATGATAACTTTTTAATCATTAAAATTGTATTAAAGACAAATTAGTCATATTAGTCTGTCGATTTAAAAGATAATAAATAAATTATAAGATTAAGTTTCAGACATATCGCGCA